AGAGATATTTTCTTGATTTCCCATATTTCTTGTGCCTCTGCAGTGGTGGTTTCTGGTCATCTGGTGGATTCTACGTTACTTCCTACCTCTGGCTTTTCCCAGGGTGTTGGGCCGGAAGGAGAGGTTTGGGGCAGAGGCTTTTTCTGGCCACAGGGGTAGGGAAAGCCCCTCTCCGGTGTACATACATGGGATTCTGGCTTTTCACTGGATGTTGGGCCGGAAGCCCCAGCCACCAGGTCTGGGACTCCAACGGTGCAGCCGGCCATGCTAAGGTAGATCCTGCCGCCTTAGTCACCATACCCTGGCTGACCTGGGGGTCACTCTTTGAAAGAGGTGATGTCTGACCGGACATGGAAACAGAATCTTTAGGAAGTGAGTATTGGGAGGTGGGTACTAGGGGAGAATTACCTGCTCTCACGTTTTAGGGTGGTGCACAGCCAGGCAGTACTCCCTGCTGATTTAGAAACTAGTAGAAGGGGCAGAGAGCAGGAGCCAGCCATTGAGAGGACCAGCTGGACATACCGGACACGTCTGCTACCACAGTTGGCCGTGACAGCTTTTCAGAGAGAGCTGGCCACCGCTTCACATCCGTCCGACTCCAACCAAGAGGGGAGGGGGTTCTGGGACATGGGTTGAGAAAAGAACCGCGCAGAGTTGCCCTTCTTGACAACTCAGCATGCTTACTACATTCTTTTTGATTTTTTAAAACATATTTATTGGGGGAGGAATGTGGTGTGGTGGTTAACGCACTGGACTCCCACTTGGCCGATCATGGTTCGAGTCCCAGACCTGGAGGCTTGCTTTCCTACTTTCCCTTTCTCTCTCTCTCTGGTCAAATTAAACAAATAATAATAATGATAATAAATGAAATAAAATAATTCTTTAACAAATGTATTTATTTATGTATTTCATGAGGAGAGGGAGACAGGCAGGCTCCCTTGACAGGGTCTTTCTGCACCGTGACCCTCTCCTGTCTGGTGTGTTCAGGTTAGCCAGCGTCTGAAGCCAGGCCTTCCGTACGGCTCCAGCATCACTCACTGGTGCCCTTCTGCCTCCACCACAGCGGCCGGGTCCATGCTCTGTAAGCCCACATGGGAGGACTTCAGAAAGTTGGTGGGAAATGGAATTAAAGCGCAAGTTTGTTTTGGGGAAAACATTTCATTTTCTGGTTTTGCTGCCGAAGAGAGATGAGAAAGGTAGAGACCGCAGAGGTGGAGAGAAAGGGGAAGCGAGAAAGCAGTCGCTGGGAGGATGGCCACGCTGCAGCCCCTTCTCCTCCGATTTTGTCTGGTGCTATGGACACACACGTGCCTGCAGTTACCCAGCCGCGGGGCCCGGGCTTCCACTTGGCCCGTGGGATCCGGTGCCGTAACTGCCATGCCCCAGCCGCGTGCAAACGTTCGTGCATAGTTTCTGCGTGATACACACTTTCCTTCAGCTTTCTGCAGACCCCTCCTATTCAACTTCTAAATAATAGGATTTTGCTTTTGATTAATATGAGGCAGCTCCCCCAGCCGCAGCAAGTGTCTCTCCAGGAGAGACAAGTTGCACGCATCTCATCCCCATCTGAGTGCTACTCACGACTCTGAGTCACACTCTCTGGAAGCCTTTAACACTCAAACACTCCCAGACTGTTAGTCCAAGCACACAGACTCTGAGGTACGCGGTTACTTGTTATCATAACACCTTTTATCTGAGGCGGTAGGGATGGGAAGAAAAAGAAGAGTTAAGGTACTTATGAATCGCCGTGAGGGTGAGGAAGGAGTACTCATTCCTGCAGGCGCGTGGGCGTCTCTGACACAGCCACGCTCCCGCTCGCACCCCCATCTACGCGTCCCTGCGGGCGCATGGTCGTCTCTGACACAGCCACGCTCCCGCTCGCACCCCCATCTGTGTCCCCTTCACCTGGCAAGCGTCTCAGCTGCTTGAGGTGTTTGTTTTTTTCAGTCTGGCAGGATGACCCAGACTGTTCTCAAAGATTCTGTGCTGTTAGCAGTTGAGCCTGTATAGAGTGGTTCTATTTTTCTTTCTTTTGAAAAATAGTTATTTTATTTCACTTAATGAATTAATGAATTAACTAACTTTATTTTGACCAGAGAGGGACAGGGGAATGGGGAGCAAGCTGCCAGGTCCAGGACTTGAACCGCAGTCGGTCATGTGGGAGTCCAGTACCCTAACCACCATGCCACCTGCCAGCCCCGGAGTGGTTCTATTTTCTATGGGCATTTCTTATTGGGCTTAGGGGTGCTAGGGGACATCAAGAGGCTCTCCCATCTACCAACTTCTCCTCCTTGTCCTCATTCTTTAATAAAAGTTCCCCTAGATAGGAGTGATTGCTTCAGTGACCTGCTTCTTTGTTGATGTCTGGCATGAGGGACCAGGTGGCCAGGTCTCAGCTTCCAGCTAACATGTCCCCTGGTGACAGTGCTCTAGGGTCTGCCCAGGACTGAGGGAATCCCTAGGACATGGGGCTTTTAGTTTCAATTAAAATGTTATACACACACACACGCAGAATGTATATATAGTGTGTGTGCGTGTATGAATAGTTTGTCAGGGGGCGTGTGCACTCCCCAGAGACAGAGAGAGTGAGAGAGCACCCTCCCATGGGGAGTGGTCATGCCACAGCCCTTTCTCCTCTATCATGCCATCCTTTCGGGATTCTGGACAAGCATGAACATGCCTGGCGTGTTTCTCAAGCTGCCGGGTCCAGGACTCAAACCACACAGTTGACCATGTGGGTTCCAGCTGCCTTAAATGCCAGGCTGTTCAAACCCAAGAAAGTCCCAGGCAAACCGGGATAAGTTGGTCCCTTGGGATCTAAGACCTCTCAACGAGCGGAGTCCAAAGCTGCGGAGGTGGGAAGCAGAACGTCACTAGGGGATCACCGGGGGTCATGACAATGGAGAAAGCATGAGCATTTCTGCCCCTTGGGCATCCCGGCTTTGGGAGGAGCCATGGAGTGAACACTGCTGGTTCCGAGCATCTCTGAGTCTGGAGGATGCTACTCCTGCAGCGTGGCCACTCGGCTGGCACCACGATCAAGTCTTCAGAGGGCTGTGCCACTGTTCCACCAGAAACTTGGGAAGCCCCGTGAATTCTCTTAGCACGGGTGGTCGCTGCAGTTCATTTCCCACAGGGCGAGTTCCTCGGTAGAATCCATGCTGTGCGGGTCACCATGGGGATGGGCGAGGTGTTCTGTGAGCTCGTAGGTGGTTTGGGCAGAAGCATTGCAGGCGGGCAGGGTGCATCTGCTGCTGAGAACACAGTGCTGCCCTCCCATCCTGGAGGAGGGGCTTGTGTTCATCTCCGCAGTTGGCAGCAGGGCACCTAGCGGTGGCTGTGGCCAGGTCACCCTAGCGAGGGGGAGTCCAGGTTGTGAGGTCACACATAGCTCCCATCCCCTCTGCCACAGCCACTTGGCTCACAGGCCTGCTGGCTAAGGACAAGAGGTGCTGGAAAAGGAGGGGAGAGGGAGAGAGAGCTGAGGCAGCCCCTAGGGGATGACCACACTGCAGTTCTCTCTCATTCTTCTCTCAGGATTTTGGGCGCACACACACATGTGCCCTGCAGGGTTTTCAGGCCACCGGCTCTGGAACTCAAACCCATAGAGTTGGCCATGTGGGATCCAGCTGCCTTAATCTCCATGCCATCTAGCTGGAGATGTCTCCTTTTCCTCCTCTTCCCTTCTTCTCTTCCCCCTCCTCCTCTTCCTTTTTTTTCCCCCTTTGTTTTTTTAGATTTTTGCCATAGGCCATGTGTGGTTACTGGAAAGAAATTGAGAGAGACAGTGAGAGGGAAAGTGCAAAATCACCCTCACGGGGAGTAGCCATGCCGTAATCCCTTCTTCATTCTCCTTGGATTTGGGGCACGCGCGCGCACACACACACACAGTGTGATTTCGAAGCTGCCAGGTCCAGGCCTCGAATCACACTCGGCACCTTAAGCACCATGCCATCTGCTGTTCTGTCAGTGATTTTCTATTCACGCTCCGTCAGAGGGCCAAGCCATCTGACTGGACAGTTAGTCACTGCCCACGAATTCACATAGGTCTGCGCTTCTTGCCTTCATCCCTCCAGGCAGGATGAACAACCATGTGCACTTGCTGTTCTACACATTCCAGGGACCTGCTTCACCTCTGTCCTGCAGGCTCCACCTTCCCCAGCTGCTGCTAGCTCCCGGATTGCAGGGCTGCAGCACCCACTCATGTATAATGCCAGCATACCATGCAGGAACATCTGTAACCAGGCCCGAATCTGTTCTTAGTCAACTGGTCAACCAGACCCCCGCCTCCGCCCCCCCCCCCCCCATGAAACTGTTGGCCTAGTTTTGGAGGGGTGAGCCAATGTGACAGAAGGTGCCCGTTCAGGCCTGTTCGTGATCCCCTTCCTTGGTACCAGGTAACTTACTCGGGCCTCCAGGACTGGCTTGAGCTGACCACATATTACCACACCCACCGATGACTGCAGGCTGCTGTGTACACTCAGCCCTTTGGCTTGGCGGGTCAGATGACAGCTGCTCATGATGGCAGCCTCGGCTGTTGTCACGATGGCCCACAACCAAGTGTCCAGTATGTGAAGCCTGGTGACAAGTCAGGATACTACCTTTGGAGGATGGCGGCAGTTTGCTAACTTCTGCGTAGTGACTCACCTAAAGAGCTGGCCAAGGGTACCATACGCTTCAAGCACTGCTGGGTCACAGGGCCCACATGGCGGAGCACCTGTGTTGTGGCCTGGAGCTGTTGCAAGCCTTCTGTGGTTTGGGGTTACCCAGTCAAGGGGTCATAGTCGCACGTGCTACTGAAGTAAAAGTTGCCTCCCAGATAATGAGACGCATAGCCATGTGCTGTTTTTTCATGGAAGAAGGGACTGGATGCAGCCACTTGCCTCCCTAGGAAGAGGTGTCTAGATAACACCCTGCACCGCCAACCCTCTAGACATTCTGGAGGTGGCAGGCCCGGGGTTCTGGTGGGACTTATCTTCCCCTCTTTGGCATACAGGTGCACTATGAAGGCATTAGGGGAGTGGCTGCTCTGTGCTCATCTGACACCAGGCTGGAGAGCTGACAGACGTCAGAGGGAGGAAGGGAAGCGTGTTGTCGACTCTGCCTGTTGAAAGTAAACTCTACTGATGGTCCTTACTACCAGGTAGGGAGAAAAAACCCCACTTACCTGTCAATAGCAGCACCCCAGGGAGCGGGCTGGGTCGATTAGCCCCAGCAATGAAATCACAGCAGGAACAGCAGTTACAGTAACGTCTCGTTAAGTTTATGGTAATCACCATTTTCTGGGTTCTGCCTGTCCCCTGCACAGGACAAACAGTAATAGGAGGGTGGTGGTGGGATGCCCTCTTCCGCATTCTCCCAGTCCTTGATGGTGGTACTGATCTTTGTACCACCAAGAATACCTCCAGAAATGTGGAATTGCTGGGGCCGGCAGCTGGTGTGGTAGGTAAGGTGTTGGACTCCCACGTGCCTAACTGCAGTTTGAGTCCCAAACCTGGTAGCTTGCTTTCTTGTTTTCTCCTCCTCCTCTCTGTGTCTGTCTGGTCAAATTAAAAAAAGAAAAAGAAGAAATGGAATTAGAGAGATAAATAACAATTAAAAAGAGAAAGAAATGTGGTATTGCTTTCAGTTTACTGTTTTCCTGGGTGTGTGTGTGTGTGTGTGTGTGTGTGTGTGTGTGGTTTATTTATTTATTTATTGGCGCCTGTGCTTGCCAGAAAAACAGAGACAGAAAGTGAGGGGGATGGCCACTCCACAATCCCTTCTCCGTTCTCCTCTCGGGATCCTCGGCATGCATGCACACGCACCCAGCATGAGTTTAAGCCACTCAAAACGCGGTTGACTGCGTGGGCGTTCAGCGACGTAGCCATTACGTCAACTGCTGGTCCCAGGGTAGCCATATATCTAATGGCTTCCTTTGGCCTCTCTTATATGATATCCCCCACTCACTGGGCCAGTTTACCAGTGTGGGGTTCTGCTGGGTGCTGAGCATGCCCGTGCCTACTGTGCATTTTATGTTTTTTTTTTTTTTTTTTTTTTGAGGGATTTTTGCTATAGGGCATGCGTGCTCACTGGAGACACAGAGACAGAGAGACAGAAAACAAGAAATCACTTCCCCCGGGGGATGGCCACGCTACAATCCCTTCTCCTCCATTCTTCTCTTGGGCCCCTGGGCATGCATGCACACGCGCCCGGCGTGAGTTTTAAGCTCTCGGGTCTGGGACTCAAACTGCGGTCGACTACGTGGGAGTCTAGGAACATAACCATTACACCACCTGCTGGTCCCTCTACTATGCATCCTGAAATAGGGGTACGGCTATGGGATGGGCTTAGGGCCCCACCAGACTCACTGAGAAATGGACCCAAGCTAAAACTCCGTTGCTCACCTGACCTCCATTAACCCCTCCTCTAACTAGAGGACATTTGGGCCCCTAGAGTCAGTGTCTGTTCAGACCAGTGTCCCTGAAAGGCCTGTGTGGTTTCCCTTCTTATTCACAGCCCCCTGATAACTGGCTCCTCGGGGCCATCAGGGAGGCCAGGGGGAAGATTTACAGTAAAGTTTTTGGCAGTGTAACCGTGTCCTTCCTCAAGCCACTCGCTTTGCCCTCACCCAAGGGACCCCGAGTCTGTGGACTGGTTCATACTGGAAATGAGTTGTGGGTCTACAGCTCCCTAGGGGATCCTTGTAGTCAGACTAGTGGAATGCGTTTGCGCCTCCTCTAAGTCCTGCCTTAACCCTCCACGCGCTGGAGGTGTGGCTTTGTAGGTGAGTAGAGGGATGTGAGACTGAGAGTGTGATGGGACTGACGCCCTTGTCATGGGGCTCAGACAGCCCTGCTCACCCCACTCCCAAATACTGAGGGGACACGGTGTGCAGACACAGTGAGATGAAAACCACCTGCAGGACAGGAGAGAGCCTTACCAAACCCTGCTGGGCCCAGACCTCAGACCACAGGCGTCAGCGTAGAAAGCAGTGTATTCTACAGTATGTTGCTGCGGCAACCTGAGCTAATACTCCTCTTCACCACACCTGGATCTTTCTGATTGTACCAATTGAGTCCTTGCAGGGTGCCCATTGATTTCTTTCTTTTTTTAAACACTTAAAAAAAAAGAATTACTTAATTTTATTTTATTTATCATTATTATTTAAATTTGCTATAGGGCACGTGGAGACAGAGAGAGAGGGAAAGTGAGAAGGCAAGCCACCAGCTCCAGTACTCGAACCATGGTTGACCACATGGGAGTCCAGTGCCTTAACCTCCATGACACCTGCTGGTCCTGTCAGTGGATTTCAGTCCTAGCCTTGACTGGTCAGCCCACACTGAAGGTTTCTGCAGGCCAAGCCATTGTGATCACACCATGGCTCTACTGCCCGTGGCAACGCACACGTCCACCTGGTCTGCAAGTCAGACACACTCCCTGGCCTGCCATGTCAGCGACCTTTTGCCAATGGCCACAGCCCAGGAGCTCCTCACCAGTGCATTTCTCAGAGCCCTGGTGACAGGGCTGGATCCCCTGCCCCTCAGGGACACAGGAAGGAGGTGAACAGATTTAAAATACAACTGGGGGGCCAGGTGGCATGAGGGTTGAGTTGCTCGATTCCCACATGGTCAACGTGGTTTGAGTCCTCAACCTGACAGCTTGCTTTCTCACTTTCCCTCTCTCTGTCGCCCTCTGGTGAGCACACGTGCCCTACAGCAAATGAAAAAATAAACCAAACGTGACGGATTTGGTATAATACTAGTTAGGTTGATTCTTGCTAGCTTATCCTTGGTCATCCTTGTATGAATCCAATGGTTTGTTGGGTGTTTTGGTTGAAATTTTTTTTGTTTCTTTTCTGATGTTTTTCAGCTGATATTCATGAAGAGCAGTGAGTACCTGGAACCGCGCGGCCTATTTAAGAAAGTACGTTTCTTTACAGAGCTCTGGCATACCGTCCCTGCGCCCTCTGCTGGGAAAGTAGAATTGTCTCAAATAATGCCTTTAATTGTGTCCTCTAGGATTACAGATGTAGGACAGCGCTGTGTCATACCTCTGTGAAGGTAAAATACCTTGCACCTGCTTCATGATACGCAGCAGTGACCGCGCGTGTGTTATCAGAGCTGGTTTTTGTTTTGTTTTTTCTTTTTTTTCTTTTTTGAGAGGTTTTTGCTATAGGGCATGTGCGGTCACCAGAAAGAAAGAGAGAGACAGAGAGACAGAAAGTGAGAAATCACCCCCCAGGGGGGATGGTCACGCCGCAATCCCTTCTCCTCCATTCTCCTCTCGGGATCTTGGATACGCACGCACATGCACCCAGTGTGAGTTTAAGCCGCCAGGTCTGGGCCTTGAACTACGGTCGATTACATAGGAGTCCAGCGACATAGCCATTATGCCATCTGCTGGGTCCAGGACTTGAACCGTGGTCATCTACGTGGGAGTCCAGCGGCATAGCCATTACATTAACTGTTGGTCCTGCATCAGAGCTGTTTTTAATGATGTTGTTCTAGGGTATTTTCTTTCCAGATGGTGATTCAGAAACTATTTTTATTTTTGATTGTTTTATTTATTATTTTTTCCTAACAAACTGAGTTTTATTTGTTGCATAATAAACCATATAACATCTCTCAGGTAAAAAAAAATACTAAATTTGAATAAAGATATCACAAAATTAAAATTAGCTTTGGGGAGGGAACACAATTCTACTCAATTAAGGCAAACTTTTTTTTTTTAAGATTTATTTATTTAATTTTATTTATTCATTCATTCATTTTAATTTGAGCAGAGAGAGACACAGAAAGAGAGATAAAGAGAGAGACGGTAAGTGAGAAAGCAAGCCGCCAGGCCCAGGACTCGAACTGTGGCTTGCCATGTGGGGGGAGTGTCCAGTGCCTGAACCACCACGCCACCTGCTGGTCCCAAGGCAACCATTTTTATAGAACATGGATTATTTTATTTTATTTTATTAATTTTTTAAAGAATTAATTTAATTTTGTTATAGTCTACTCAGCGAGAAATAAGAGGCTGTCCAGACATAGCCAAATTTGTTGGAGATTATTGATTAAACTGGCGGCGTACGGAGAGACTCTAGTCTCTCAAAACCCTGTAGCCCCGAGTGAAAGGAGAGAGGAGCTTATACAGGCCAAAAATCCCCAGATGGTCTACAAGGACAGGAACAAATTAAGGGGCTTCAGGAGAGATAGGGGAGGGTTTTCTGTCTTCAAAGCAAAAAAGCCAGTCACAGAAGCAAAGCAAGCAGGTTAATTAGTCTTGAGGGGAAGCTCTGATTACAATGGAATTTTAATGGCTTCTTTGGTTCCGGTCAAGGTTCCTGAGGTACCTGGGAGTGGGGCTTCCTTGGATGTTTTTTTTTTTTTTGGAGAGATTTTCACTATAGGGCGCGTGTGCTCGCCAGACAGACAGAGAGAGACATAGAGACAGAAAGCGAGAAATCACCCCCCAGGGGGGATGGTCACGCCGCAATCCCTTCTCCTCCATTCTCCTCTCGGGATCTTGGGCACACACGCGCCCGGCGTGAGTTTTAAGCCACCGGGTCCGGGACATGAACCGCGATCGACTACATAGGAGTCCAGCAACATATCCATTACGCTAACTGCTGGTTCCCATCGCTTCTTTGGATCTTATCTGCACTCCTGGGGAGAGGGAGGAGGCTGCATAGTTTCTACAATGAAATCACTCTTTCAAGGTGGAGTCGAGCTTGCTTCAATTTATTCATTCATTAATTTATTTTAATTTGACCAGATACACAACACACACACACACACACACACACACACACACACACACACACACAGAAGGAGAGCGAGACAGCAAGCTACCAGATCCAGGACTTGAACTGTGGTCGGCCATGTGGTGGGAGTGTCCAGCGCCTTAACCACCACACCACCTGCTGGTCCGGAGAATTTTTTTTTTCTTTTTTTGGAGAAGTTTTTGCTACAGCTCGCCAGAAAGCGAGAAACAGAGAGACAGAAAGCGAGAAATCACCTCCTGGGGGGATGGCCACACCGCAATCCCTTCTCCTCCATTCTCCTCTTGGGATCTTGGTGTAGATTCACGTGTATGTTGCCACAGGACCCGCTGGGTGTTCTACAAGGCCTAGAGAACACATGGGGGGTTATGATCATCATTTTGGGGAATTACTGGAAGATGACGGTTCTGGCCAAAAGGAGAGAAGCTAATTTGAAAAACAAAAAAGGGGGCTGGATTCCCACAGTGCCAAGCACGGTTTAAGTCCTGGACCTGGTGGCTTACTCTCTCACTTTCCCTCCCTCTCTCTCTCACTCTGTCCCACACTGGTCAAATGAAAATAAATAAATAAGGTTAAATACAATAATTCTTTTTTAAAAAAATGGTGCCAAGTACCACAACAGTAATAGAACTTTTCTATTTTCTGGGGTTTTTTTAGAAATCTTTGTTTCTTTTTAAAAATAGAGTGTGCTCTACTGCAGCCTGCTATTGCTGCATAACGCACTATTATTAGTCTTTTAATATAAATACATATACATATATATAAATTTTGAAATTTTGGAAACTAGCTGTCAGCTAGTGGAAAAAGCATCCCAGTTTACTGTGTTGAACTCGCATTGTATAGAAATTAACAGTCAGCATGGTCTAGAAACATTAAACTTAATTTTGTTCCATTTACACAGGGGTAATGGACTGTATTAAATATGTAAGGTCTCATCTACATGGGTGTGATTAACAGAAATGAATAAAGCATTCTCTAAATAATAACAAAAATAAAGTTAAATAGGGGACCAGCAGTGGCATGATGGTTAGGGTGCTGGACACCTCCACACGGCCGACCAGGGTTTGGCTCCTGGACCTGGCAGCTTGCTTTCTTGCTTTTCTTCTCTCTCTCTCTCAATCCTGACAAAATAGATGAATGAATAAATAAAAATAAATAATTCTTTTTAAAAACTAAAATAAACTTAATTTTTTTTTTTTTGAGAGGTTTTTGCTATAGGGCGTGTGCACTTGCCAGACAGAGAGAGACAGAGAGACAAAAAGCGAGAAATCACCCCCCGGGGGGATGGTCACGCCACAATCCCTTCTCCATTCTCCTCTCGGGATCTTGGGCACGCACACACACGCGCCTGGCGTGAGTTTTAAGCCACCGGGTCCGGGACATGAACCGCGGTCGACTACGTGGGAGTCCAGCAACATAGCCATTACGCTAACTGCTGGTTCCAATAAACTTAAATATTTTTTAAAAATTCAGTTATTAGGTTCTTGGCAAGAAATTCAGAATGCCGATTTGTGAAAACAAACTCCGTTTGTGAGGGCAAATGAAGACTGCAGGTAGCCCCGGATCTGAGGACCAGCTTTGATTTTTGGTAAAATTTATGAGTCCACAGCTTTCTGATCCACCTTGCGCTGCTCTGAAATCTCGAATTTCTCCTTCTCTGTGTCAAAGAGCTCACCTTCCTGGTGTCTGGGCGTCCGCAGCTTCTTGCTCCTGAAGTAAGCATCAGTGAGGTGCTTTGGGATTTTTACTTTGCTAATGCCAGTGTTCGTGGAGGTGGCGATGACAAATTTCTGGTGTGTTCTACGCAGTGGAACGCGATTGAGGACCAGCAGTCCAGTCATCCGTAGCAAGCCCCTGCTCAGCTGCTGCAGGAGAACCACCCACTTGCCTCTGTGGCGTCCAGTGAGGATGATCAGAATGGCCCCAGGAGTGATGCTGGCTGGCAGCTTCTCACAGGCGGACTGAAGGGCATCTTGCCCTGGCTCAACAGCTTTCGAGGCACATCTTCAGCAGGGTAATATCTAGGCATTTTGCAAAGTTTAACCACCCAGGTTAAACTTTGAGGGCTTCAAAGTTTAAGTTTTGAGAGGTTTTTGCAATAGGGCTTGTGTGCTTGCCAGAAAGGCAGAGAGACAGAAAGTGAGAAATCAGCCCCCAGGGGGGATGGCCACACTGCAATCCCTTCTCCTCCATTCTCCTCTCGGGATCTTGTGCACGCACGCACATGCGCCTGGCGTGAGTTTAAGCCGCCAGGTCTGGAACTCTAACCGTGGTCAATTACATGAGAGTTCAGTGACATAGCCATTACGTCATCTGCTGGTCCCCCAGACTTATTTTTTAAGAACAGTACTAGAGACCAGCAGATGGTGTAATGGTTATATTGCTGGAGTGTAATATGGTGGTCTGTAGTTCGAGTCTTGGACCTGGCTGCTTGAAATTCATGCCAGGTACATGTGTGTGCATGCCCCAAATCCTGAGAAAAGAATGGAGGATGGGGAACCAACAGTTAGTGTAATGGCTATGTTGCTGGACTCC